CAGGAGGGCAGGCCAGACACCCGCCCACCTTCAGGCGCATGCAGCCAAGAGGGGGCAGAGTTGCATGGACCTTAGAGCCATGCAGTCCAATGCCCCCACCCTACAGGTGGGGAAACTGAGGCCCAGGGGGCAGGCGGGTCTCCCACTGCCGGAGCAAGCAAGGCCATGAGTGGGAGCTTCACTCCACACCCAACAACTCCAGCCTCCATGGGGCAGAGGCCAGGAGCGCCCGCTTGGCGGGATGGGGCTGCTCTGCGCTCTGCCGGCCCCTCCCACCCGCCCCCGGCAGGAGGGGTGGGGGCGACTTCACCTTCCTACCACCTGTCCCTCTGCCTCACTTCCAATGAGCTCCTACTGTGAGCCATGAGCCAGCCTGGCACCAGGCAGTGGGACAAAGACGTGCCCTGTCCTCAAGAGCCTGCAGTCGAAGGGGACTAGTGGCTGATGAGGGCCCGCCCGAGGGGCACGCAGGAGGACGGCAAGGGGCCTCTGATCCAGCCTGGGAGATCGGGGGGACCCCCTGAGGAGGGATCTCTTGTGACACAATTGGAAGGGGAGGGGAGCCACAGGAAGACGGGGCAAAGGGTTGCCGGCCTGGAGAACAGCACGTGCCAAGGCCCGGAGGCCACGGCAGGCAGTGACACGTGGGCTCGCAGCCTGGAGCAAGCGGGCTAGAGAGCCATCGAACGAGCCAGGTGGAGACGAGCGGACAGGGTTAGGCAGAACCCAGCCTGGAACCTGGGAAGAGATGCCCGCAACGGGGTGACGAAGACACTCACTCCCCGCAGCCTGGGAAGGTGAACGGGCACCTGTGCATGTGTGTATGCATGCACGTGTGGGGGTGAGCACATGCACATGTGTGCTACATATGAGTGTGCATGCATGTGTGCATACAAGCACGTGTGCATGATACATGCATGTGCAGTAAGGTGTATTGCATGGTTGCATGCACACATGCACATAGTACATGTGTGTGCACGAAGACACGTGTGCAGGTGCATGGCGTGTGGCTCATGTGCATGCCTGCCTGAGGCTGCGTGGACACAGATGTGCGTGTTATGTGTGCCTGGATATTTGTGCACTGAATCATGCACATGTGCACATGCACAGTATGTGTGTGTGTGTGCACATGTGGGAATGCCAGCATAGGTGTGCGTGTATGTGTGCACATGGCTGTGTATGCATGGGTGGTGTGTGTGCACGTGGACACGTGTGCATACCCGTGTGTGCAAGGAGATAAGCTCCCCTCCATCTGAGCTGAGGCCCCTCGCGGAGCACAGAGTGCCACACCCAGGAGGTGTGCCCCTGCATCCGAATGCCTCTCACTGTGTCCCGGGGTGTGGCCTGCCTGCACCAACCCATCCCTTCTGGGCCCCACTGGTCACAGGTGCACTCACAAGCAAGAAAGTCTCGGCCCCAGGATGCTCCTCTTCCGCATGGTTTCCCTTCTGAGGTGTCCCGCTCCCTCCCCCAACTCCCCCAGCTGCCCCACCCCCATCCCCCCTGCAGCCTGACCCCTGAAGCACCCTCCCATCATCCCTCTGGGTCCTGCCAAGTCCGGGCTTGGCCATCAGCGACTCGTCTGAACGGGCAGTCTTTCCTGGATAACCCGGAGCGGTGCGTCCGCCCTAAGTGCCAGCGTCTGGGGTGAGAGGCCGCTGGCTCCGTTTCTGGCAGCTGCCGTCCTGAGCCTCTGGCACACACCTCTGGTAGGTCTGGTGCAGCCCCAAAGCCCAGCTAAGCGTCGCTCCACCCCTAAAACTCCTTGGGGACCCAGCTCTCCTGCACCCCTCTAGGCCCTGGATCCACAAGAGGGGCGCTGCCTCCCACTCCTCCTGGGTCACGCAGGGAGAGGTGCCAGCAGAGCAATGTCTGTGGCCCACATCTGCGGGCCGCTCGACCAGCCAGGCACCCCCAGATCCCCGAGCCTGGCCCGGCTGGGAGAGCCACTTCTGGGCATGGAAAGTCCTGTCTGCCTTGGGCCCAGCTCCTCTGTTCCCCTTGTCCCCTGACTCCCCATGCTATGCCACCCTTGCTTGTGAACATGTGAGGTGTAGAGTGGCTCCCGGACTCTGGATGTCCCCCAAAGCGCTCCCGAGAGGACGAGAATCCTGCACAGTCTGGAGGAGGCCTCGTGCGTGGCTGGCTGGGTGCTGAGGGAGGGACAGATGTCTGTCTGCAAAGCCTGTACCAGATGACGGCCACTCCCTTCTCCCAAGTCCTGCTCCTGCCCCCCACCCCCGTGCCTCCCAGCACAGCCCACCCTCACCCCAGGGAGTGCAGCCCACAGGGGCCTCTCAGCTCCCTCGAATGCTCCGTCATTCTTCAAATGCAGCTCAGAGGTCACTCCATCCAGGAAGACTTCCTGGACAAGGCACCGATGGCATCTGCCACACCCACCTCAGTGTGTGGCACAGTCTGCCCCAGATGGCGAGTGCTTCAAAGCGGAAGGCACAATTCAGGGGAGGAGGATGCAGAACGCACCCCCACATCCGACAGGTGGCACCTCTTAGGCCTCCAGAATCGGGAGGACCTTTCACAAGGACGGTGGCCCTCCACCTTTCCGGGGTCACGCACCTTTCCCATGCGGTCATGGCTTTGCTCCCCAAAGTGCATAACTGCCCAGGATTGGCTGGGGAGGCTAAACTCCTCCTGGGCAGACCCACCTTCCCCAGCGTCTGACTCCCCCCACAGCCCTGACTTGACTCCCTCCTCCCCCGTGTCCCCTGGTTCACAAGGATGCTGGGGCCCCACGGTGGGCACCTCTGCCAAGACCACCCAGCTCTCCTGTGCGAGGCCCTTCGAGCCCTTGGGAGCTCAGAGAACAGGGAAGCACCCCCAAACCGCTCACATCTCTAGGCATCACTGGGGGTTGGGGCTTTGCTCCCACCCCTCCCTGCCATGCCAACCACTGCTCAGAAACATCCCGCCCCCTCCCCAGCCTCAGGAATGGCCGCCTAACCCCTCCCCTCCCCCTACCCCCGTCTGAGGATGCAGAGCGAGCTGCCCACCAGTTTGGGCTCGGTTCCGGAACAGGAAAGGTCCTCCCAACGGTCCAAGGGAGAATGTCAGGCCCGAGAACGCTCCCACCCCTCCCTGCCATGCCAACCACTGCTCAGAAACATCCCGCCCCCTCCCCAGCCTCAGGAATGGCCGCCTAACCCCTCCCCTCCCCCTACCCCCGTCTGAGGATGCCGAGCGAGCTGCCCACCAGTTTGGGCTCGGTTCCGGAACAGGAAAGGTCCTCCCAACGGTCCAAGGGAGAATGTCAGGCCCGAGAACGGCACCCCCAACCCCCCCTCCCTCCCCCCAGGTCTCTCACAGACCTCAGGCCGCCTGGAAGCAGCACAGGACTCTGGCTGGGAGTGACAGGGCACCTCTGCGAAGCGAATGCGCAGGGGTGTGGGACAGGGGCAAGCGGGTTACCCCAACGACTCATCTCTAATCCCGCAGGAATGAGGCACCCACGCAAAACCGCCCGTCATCCGGGCAATTCGGTTTTGGGTGTTGGCCAGAGGCGGTGATTTTGAACATCCCCCACTCTTTAAAAGCAGGGCCACTAGCATAAGAATTAAACTTCAATAATTGCCAACACGGGTACAGAGCCCCGGAGCCTGCTCAGGGCTACCACAGGCACCGCCGTCATGAGTCATGCAAGCCGCCAGGGGAGCGGACCGAGGCCTGGGTGTGGAGGTGGCCCTGCCAGGGAGCGCCGACCGCAGACGCGGCCCGGAGCCGGCGCTCGGAGGGCCAGCGCGTGCCCAGCCAGAGAGAGTCTGGCTCTCCAATCAGGCCGCGGACCCCCAGCCAGCCGGTGCTGCGCGCGAGGGTGCGCGCCCGCGTGCGCGTGTGCCCGGGGGAGGTGAGGAGGCTCCC